GTCGTGGTCGTGGTCGTGGTCGTGGTCGTGGTCGTGGTCGTGGTCGTGGTCGTGGTCGTGGTCGTGGTCGTGGTCGTGGTCGTGGTCGTGGTCGTGGTCGTGGTCGTGGTAGTCGTAGTAGCAGTAGCAGTAGCAGTAGCAGTAGCAGTAGCAGTAGCAGTAGCAGTAGCAGCAGGAGTAGTAGTAGTAGTAGTAGTAGGAGTAGGAGTAGGAGTAGGAGTAGGAGTAGGAGTAGGAGGAGTAGGAGTAGGAGTAGGAGTAGGAGTAGGAGCAGCAGCAGCAGCAGCAGCAGAAGTAGTAGTAGCCCCTGACTCGGCTCTGTTCAGAGTCCTGTAGTTCTTTGGCGTCGCATGATGTTCTCTACTCGCTAGAGGTCTGTTCTTCAGTACCTTGATATCTTTGATGTTCTCAGTACCGGATCCTCACCGGACCTAGCTGATATTCCTCAGTCCCCTCGCCTCCAAATTCCACTGGTATCCCAGCACTTCACCACCAGGTCCTTTTTGCTTCAAAAAAAACAGGGCGAATCCGAGGACGACGAAGGAGACCAAGGGGACCAAGGGGACCAAGGCAAATCATTGAATCATCCAGATAGCGTACCCTGGGATTCTTGGCCAACCCTTGGTTTTAAGGGGTCTTTTCATCCCAAAGCACCATGGTTTTACTAAGGGTTTTACACTACAATACCAGATCGTTCCTATGCTTTGAATGGTCGAACTGAAGGCTAGGGTCTACCTTGAATATCTTGATTGTGTGGGGTTTGTTCAATGTGGTTGGCGTGTGGTCCGCCAGAATTGACCCATGCTGATCAACCAAGGAGTCCTTGCCCTGTTCCAGCTTCGCCAACGCATGGCCCCTCTTTGGTCTGAAAGAACCGCAAAAAGAACGTCCAGGCACACCAAAGCAACAGCCGTGTGGCCATGCCCTTATGATCGAGAAAGAGAGAAAGAGAGAAAGAGAGAGAGAGAGAGAGACAGAGAGGCCATTTGAAATGATGTGGGCCAACGCAGGATCCCACACCCTACAAGCTGGGAATGCCCTTGATACTCAAACGATGCCATGCCATCATGAGCAAGTGACCTGATAGAACAGTTCATTCCTTTGGTGGATCCTATTCCAGGTCAATGTCTCTAAAATCACCTTTCTGTTCGAAAGAAGCGCAAGGTACACTGCCATCAATCAAACATCCACCGTCCATCGCTGTCTGCGCTTGCTGGTGCTTTCAACCCCAAAGGAGCCCCCTGAGTAATTTCGTTTTTTGTATTGCTCGCGCCTTGGGCTGTTGCCTGTAGTTGCCATGCTATGAATTACCGTATAGTCGCGGTCCCAAAATATATAGATCCCAAAAATGCCGACAAACCAAAAATGCTCACCCGTCCGACATGCCACGAAACGGAAGCGATTTGTTCGACGACGTCCTGTCGTTTCGTCCGAAGCTCCGGAGGAAACGGAACTTCAAAAGCCGTCCTCCCCGGACGACAGGAGAACTGAGTTGGAGTCGTCCAATAAGACCTCACTGAACAACTCTTCGTGCAGGGCGATGAAGAATGGGCGATGAACAGTATTGAACGCCACCCCAAACAAAAGGAACTTCTTAGGCCGTTGCGATTTTTTGCGGGGGGCATCGCAACACGTCCTTCCTTCAGTCCTTCCAAACACCCACAGAAGAGGACCACAGCAACTCCTCCTCTCTTCCCATCACCGATCCATCTCTCCAAAACTCTTCTCGCCCAAACCCCGCACCCTCCACACCAAAACCCCGCAAAAAAAAAAAAAAAACAACCATCAGTGGACCGAAGGTGTTTGTCGGTCCCTCGGTCGACCGCGGGCGTCCGTGGGTCCCGGCGCAACGGGTGGCGTCCAGATGCCCCTGGATGGTCCAGCGGAGTTGCCAGCTCAAGCCTCGCCCCCCCCCAGAACCGGCGAGGGCGGGGCACGAGGAAGACGAGGTCAGGGACCCAGCGTGGTTGGCTCGTGAAGACCAGCGGCTAAAGGTGGGTAGGGCGGGAAGAAGGGCGATGATGGGTTCATCCTTTTGGTTGGGGAGCCGGTCAGATCCATAAAAATTGGATGATCCAATTGGATCACAAAGAAACAGGTGAGCCATTCTTGGTGTGTGTGCCTCAAAACAGGATCTGTATTTGGACCTTCAGATGGTTTCGATGGTCTTCGGTTCGGTCGAACCGAGATCCGTGCACTGCGGTCCTCCATGAGGATCAAACAGTTTGTGGCTACATGAGAAACACCTGAAAAATGGACCTCCAAAACGACTGGAAAGCCAAGTGCTCCCAGTTCAACATCTGTTGGGAATGGCCGGCATGTCTTCCTTTCAGATGCTTCAATACCCTTAGCAGCTACCAGCTACCAGCCCTACCTGGCCCCACCACCTTCCATCACGCAAGCGGAGGTGATGGAAGAAAGACCAACCCTCTCCCCCCACCGGCTTAGGACGAAGCGGCGTTCCCGAACCAAGCGACCCGGTCGGAAGGGTTCGGATCCTCGACCCAGCGGAGCTGGGCGGTCTTCTCCGCCCAAGTGGGAGACAGGTTCGAATCATCCGCGTCGACTCGCGTAGGCCGAGACAAGTGGAGACGAAAGGAAAAGAAAGTTAAGTAAACCATAGTAAACCTGTTTGGGGAAAGAAAGATACAAGACAGGACCGAAACCGAAGAGAAAGAAACCGCAAGTCCAAAAGGACGGGTTTTTCAACCCGGGTGCGTTTACTAAAGAAAAAGAAGGCCAGACGCGACGACTGCGTGTTCCTCCCCCCAGTAGAATTGCAGGGTGAATCCTACTGGACAAGGATCTAACAACGGGGAGACATCGTTGCAAACATTATGCGCAGGACGGTCCCAATGTTCCAGGACACTCCAGGACGGTTGCCTTGGCTTCCTGAACTGGACAGGAGACGAACTTGGGCAAAGTTCGACCAGACTGGAAGCCGGAGCAAAACGCTCGTTTCCTCCACAAAACTTGTCACAAAACCCGTGGGTTTTCAGGTTCCATGTGAATCTCTCGGGGGAGATACCGGGATCCGCGTAGCTGTAGCTCCTCCCCGTCTTCGACGCCTTCGCGCCTGGCAGCTCTGCCTCGCTGGTCGTGGTGCAACTGCCCGGCGAGCCAGTGTGCCTGATGTCCCGCGGCTCAGAAGCGAGAGGAAACTGATTCAGCGGCTTTAAGTGGTTTTAGTACGCAGAAACATCTTCCTAACTTGCTTGAGGAAAAACATGAAAAAGAACACATGCCCACCAATGGAGAGGTCGGTCTCTTTGACCGCGGCGTCTTCGGTGGCGTCACCGACGCACGGGGCACCGCTCGCCTGGCAAAGCCGGAGACATCATCGCCTGCAGAAACCCGACGCATCGTGCCGTGCCCCGAGCACGCTGACGTGAGGCCGGAACTCTCGGCGGAACTTGGTCGGGGCTTTCTTCCAGGGGCGGGGAGATCGAAGCACCTCCGGTGAAAAGGATGTTCAGAAAGAGATGCAACCTCTCTGAGTTGATGAGGAATTGTTCGTGAAGAGGATGGTACATGGTCGACGGCCTATGACGACCTCAGCCTTGTTTGGAGTGGGCGGCACGGTACGCGACGCCTTCTGCACCCTTCGTCCGGGGACACCGTTCGTAGACCCTGGTGAGACCGGACACTGATCCCAACACCGACCGGACACTCGTTCCATGCCCCTAGACTTCCCACTACTAAACTAATAGGCTGAATCCCGAACCAACTAAGGACTTTACACTACAAAAACCAGTCCAACTATGTTCTTATAATATATAATAATAGTCTTGGAAGTCTAGGCCCTCCAACATGAAACACATCTGAAACAGCCGCTGCAGCCCGCGTTCTGCCGCTGCCGCGTTCTGCCGGCCGCTGCCTTCTCGGAACTCAATCCCTCAGCGCTCGGGTTTTTCGGTCGGTGGCGTCGTTGTGTCCGTGAGTCATGCGGCGGTCCACGATGGTCATGGCGTGTAGTTCGACACTGGTGTGGAGCGAGTAGCGCCCCTCACGTCCATTCAGCCTCCTCACGAACATGGAAGTGGACACATTGCCGGTGGTGGCGGCGGCGGCGGCGGCGGTGAAAACCACTTCCAGTGTGGATGCGTTCGGAGGCTCCGTGTCGTCTGACATCTGGAGGCGACCCGAAAAAGACCGTGCGCGCGCCAGTGAGTTGGTTCTGTCGGAGCAAGGACCAAGCAAGAACTGATAGAAGAGAACGGGATTGAGTTACATTCAAAAGATATTACGCTGATTGAGTTACATTGAAAGTTAGATCAAAGGGATCTCCCCAAAAGATATTACGCCGACCGAAAAGAAGCGCCCGCTCGGTACTCCGCTTCGCTCGCTCGCTACTCTTCCCGACGGCGATGCGATGGAACGACACCAGACCGACTGGGCACCGTGTCGGGCAACGCGTCGATCGTGCGTCGCGGCGCGGAGCCTCACGCTGCACGGTGCCTAGCCTCTTGACACATCCAGCCTATGGATGATCACTATCATGATCCCATCACCAGCGGCGTCACGCGATGCGCGTCCGAATTGCGTCGAACTTGGGCCCCCGAACGCGCTTCACGCAAGCGCTCGCGAAGCGCACATTGGCAGGACTGGGGCGCCTGGTTGGCGGCGCCCAGAAACGGAAACGGAGGACCCTATGTTGCGGGGTGGCACACAGGAGAGGAGCATGGCTCATGGGGGCCCAGGAGTTGCCAAAAGCATCCGGCCAGTGGTGTCTTTTTTGGAAAGAAAGCCATGACCTCACGTTCCTGTCTTTGTCACATCACTGGGAAATCATAAGCACCTGGAGAGGATCATTCCGCCTCATTGAATCAAAATGTTGGCAACAATGCATGGATCGGTTAAACCCGATCCATATACCAACCTGCTGCTCATGCCGGTCCTCCATCATGGGGCTTCCATGTCTTGGTGAAGCTGCAGCAATTTGGGATTTGCATGGATTTGCACTGAAATGAGGTAGAATTCAAGGCTAACCCGCACCTTGGCATGAACGGATGTTGCCGAACTCTCAAATCCTTGCCTTGGAACCCCCTCAAGTTCCTTGCTTGAGAGGTCTTGCAGCTGTTTCTCACCCAGAACGACTTGATTGCAATCGCGTCCACCCGCGACCGAGGCCAAATGATACCGCCTCTCCCTCGCTTCTTCCGTGCCCTCGGGTCGACGGAGACCGGGGCCAACCCCTCGGTCGAAGGGCGGGGGGCCTTGGGCAAGCGTTCCAAGTAGGCGGAAAGGACCTGCGGCGGCGCCACGGTTTGTGCTGCGAGGTCGGGCGTGTTGAGTCCCATGTGTCCCCGGTGTCGTGGAGAAGAGAATGGTCAAGAAGTAAGTATTTAAAAAACTGTATAAGGTAGGTCGATCCTACTATACCAGTGACAGTGGACTTTTGGCTTGGTTCAGTTGCAGGCCAGGTGTCCTACTACAGACCCAAACTCATTTGGCCGAGTTACGTAGCTCAGTCGACCATGGACGACTCCAATGTCCTGGTTTCGACCGTGGTCAACTGAACAGCTCCGGAGCAGCTCGATGAAACCCTCCGAAGCAGAAGAAAGAACTCCCCCATCGGGCCTAGCAGCGCTAGATGGCGCCAGCTGGAAACGAACCCTTACCACCTCTGCCCCAGGTTAGGTCACAGGTATGGGACCTGCCCTGGGTAGTAGTCGACATCCAAGCCTCATCAGGCTCCAAAAAGGCCCAAAAAAGCGTGGTGTGTCTCAAATCAAACTGCGTCACCCACCAAATCTTCCGTGCACATCGTGTGGTTCTTCCCTCCGCACGGGTTTGTGCCCCAAGACATCATGGTTGCTTCCCCTCTTCTTGACCAGATCGGGCTCAGCTTGGTCAAACCACCCGATCGCACGGCCACGGAGGGGTCTCCCGGACTGCCGCCGATGGGTCTGCCCAGAGGAACGACGATGAAGGGAGAAAGGAAAACACAACAATGGGTCAAACCGGTTCTGAGTCAGAATATATGTTAGAATACATAGTAACTTAGAATATCGAACATCACTGAAAAAGAAAAAAACATCAAGCTGACCTCGGATCGACCTCTTTCTCCACGCGCCGCCTCTCCCGCCTCGGGGGTCACTGGACGGACGTCGGGCGAGAGCAGCGAGCTGCGGCCTCGGCGCGCCGAACGCGCGTGGGGTGGAAGGTCGAACTGGTGGGAAGCCAGGTCCAGGTGGGTTCCCTGTTTTCGACTCAACAGGTGGTAGGACAGGTCTCACTCTCCCTGTAACTCGCCTGGTGGCGAGGTGGAGGCCATAGCTACTAGGGTGGAGGCCGGGTGGAGTGAACACTGTTTGGTCTGAGAAAAACTTCATGGTCTTCCGAGGGACAACTTTCCACTGCTAGTTCCAGGGAGTGTAAATCGTGTGTCCAAATCTGGACAATGACCAGAATTGGATCAAGGTCAAAGGATGTTGCGAGGTGTTATTACCAATCAGTGTTGTCAAAAAGGTGGTCTAGTAGATTAGTAGATGGCTCATCCACTTGACTTCGATGAAACAGCGGTTATGGGGTGGTGAAACCCAATATGAATAGCAGCATAGCATGAACTGCTATGCTAAGGTTTTGCAAAGCTCCGTGCTTTGAGCTCCCTGGCCTCTCTGGCTCCTCCGTTCACCGCTGCACGGCTCGGCGTCCGAGCTGAAGCCTTGCACCGCCTCGCGCATGGAGCCCTGGAGACGAGGCCGGCCGCTGGAGGGCGAGCCAAGCGAGCGGACGAGCGGTGAAACAACGCCCGGTGAGGTCCGTCGGTGGTTCAATGCTTCCATGAACGGCAGTGGTTCAGGCTGTGGTCAGAGGCTGTTTCATGGCCTCTGCGCCGGTCATGGCTCGGCGACGGTCGCGGGATTCCGAGAAAACACATGGAACGGTCACGGTGGGGAACCAAGCAAAAAGGACCACCGGGAACGAGCGGGGGGGGGTCTTTGGAGCGGGTCTTTGGGGATTGATCTTTGCCCAAAAAGATGTCCCCAAAGACATCGGAGACATCGGAGACATCAACATGTTGAGAACATCGAAAGAGACATCTTGAGACGCCCTCAAGCGGGTTCCTTTTTTCGGGCATCTTCCACTCCACAGTCCACTCCACATATGATCATAGGTCCCTCAACATTGTGAGAGAGGGCAAAGCCTTTCCTGTGCTGCCCTTTTTTGAGCACTTTCGTGTTTCCAAAACAACACATCCACACACCAATGCGTGACATTGTCATGTGAAACCTGAAAGTTCTCTTGCGTTGAAGGATGTTGATGACAAAGGCTCTGCTGTTAGATTGGCCCTTTCTGGGCCAATGGGCCAAATGCCAACGCTTGAGTTCGGCCCTGCTTTGCGGGAATCGACCAGCCACTTGCCCTGAGCGCAGGCGCCGCCTCTCTGCCACTCAGATCTGGGAGAACCCTGGAGTCGCTCAGTGATCCTCACACGGAACCTGACCTTTTGCAGGCTTCCTTTGCCGGTCGTGATTTTCCAGTGGTTTGAATGGTCCCATCCCATCCGGGCCTTCCTTCCAATCCAAATCCCAATTTGGCTACTTCAACCCTTCCACTTCATCTCTTCCGCTTCCGCTGCTTCTCATCCCGCTGAGCTCTCAAGGCCTTCTGCACGAGTTTGCCCGCCCTGGCCACCTGCCCTTCCACCTGCGCCACCCCCACCGTCCAAGCCCCACCACGCGGCCGCATGCCGCGCATGGCGCGCTGACTGCGGCGCTGACTGTGGGGGCGCTGCGCGCTGAGCGCGTGCAAGGCGCTCTGGAGGCTAGGCCAACCACGCTGCGCCGCATCAGAAAGCGCCACAGTCTCAGACATGGCCAACGACAAGTTGGAGGTGTAAGGCCTCCGTCGGCACAGCAACAGATCAAAGCGGAACGGGGGCTTCAAACCCCCAAACCCCCATGAGTAACAGTCATCATGCCATACAACCTCAGAATGCGCGCCCAAAGCCTGAACTATTTTTCCTCTGGGGTGTTAGTGCTTAATGGGGGTTTAGTGGTTTACTGTGAGTTTCCAGAAGACCCACTTGTAGCAGCGCTAATCTGTCGTCTGGCTTAATAAGGCTTTAGCATGGTCTAATGAAAACTTAGCTGTTAAAAAAAGGTTTTGAGGCTGGCTACAGGCTTGGCCACCGATGAATGCAAAGTTCTTGCCCAAACGTGCAAAAAACGGAGCTGTGAACAAGTACTTAAAAAAAGGGGGTTGCCCTGATCCAACAGAACAGAACGCTGTTGATCGAATCGAAGATACAAAATGCCAACTTTCACGCCCATTGCAACGACATCGGCTAAACCCTTCATGGCCCTTCATGGTTTGATAAGATCGTCAACCTGCTATAGCGTTGTGGAAATGAGAAAACATGTCACTCACATACAAGTCGACATCGGGAGCACTTGCTCGCCGGGCTGGCCGTGTGGACTGGCTAGCCGGGGCTGGCCGGATGCTTGCTTCTCTTACAAGGTTTTGCACGAGCTAGAGCTTAGAGTCGTCACAGCTACGGCACAACGTGTCACACCTGAGGTTGGAATGGGAAAAGCCTCTACGCACTGCCAGGGCTGGGCACGGAAATGTTGAGGCTTCAGTTCGTTGGTCTGTGACAATGGGGACATGCGGGGATACTTCCGCCCACCGGCTTTGTCGGAGGATTGCCTTGTATTTCTATTCTTTGTCAATCGGTAGAAAGGAAAACATATGAAAGCGATGACCTTCGATAAATCTTTTGCGGAAAAAATGAAGAATATACTTTCGCGAACCTCATCGCGAATCTTTCGCGGATGGTTTTAACAACAACTGAAAGGCTGTTTTGTATAAAACTCCTTACACGGGGTTTTAGATCAACTCCCATATAAATGTTGATGAACATTGCAAATGTTCCATTTGTCTGGCAGCCTTCTTCCCTCCAAACCCACCTCCGACACTGTTGCGCCATCAGCTGCATCTGACGTCGTTAGCAAAAACAACCAAAACAAACCATCCAATGTCCAAATCCCAAGAGATCCTGGGAGCTTGGACCTCTTGGCAACCACGCTGGGACCGGACCTCTCCCTCCGAACCGCCACCGAGCCGCCCCTCGAGTTTCATGGCGCAGCAGCTCACGACCGCACGGAAGGACAGCCGCAGCGGCGCTCCCTGCCAGGCGCCGGCGCCGGCCTGACGGAAGGCGCGGACGTAGCCTCGGCGCGCGGCCATGGTTTGGGTGGGGAAGAAGACATGAAAACTAATTGTTATGGCATTTATATGAGTTTACACTACAAAAACCAGGTCAACCATGTTGAAAATGGTCTTGGGCTCCCAGCATGGAAGTGGGAAATGGCCTTTGGGAAGACCACTTTCCTTTACAAACACCGTGGGTTCCATGTTAGTCAGTCGAAGTTCGAAGTGTAGTGGAGGGAGTCCGGAGGGAGCTGTTCTGATGTCCGGGGCTTAGGAAAAAGTAATACCGAGCCCGGAAACCCTGGTAGGTGAACCTCCGACTCGTAGTCCGGTGCCATGAGGGGTTCGGTGCCATGACCCGCAGCCGAGGAGGCTATGACTGGTATACCTGTACACCTCTTGGATCCACACAGCTTTTCAGGGCAGGATCCGGGAGCGTCTCTTCAAGCTTTGGAAACTGCTGCCAGGCCATGGTTACGTGTTCGATGGGACGTGTTCGGAACATGTGTGGCATGTTCGGTTCACTTGTCGACCGAGAAATCCAGTGCCGGAGGATGAATCTCCAAGTTTCGCTTTGACCCGTCACCCATGTGGATTTTTGGGGATCAGTTGTTGACTTGGAGATGGGACTCAAAAAAAGGTCCAACATGAGGGAAGCTTTTCATCAGTACACATGCCTCCAGGCTCATCTGAAGGCTCTTAATTAGGCTCCTAGAGTACATGGTGTCCACCCCTGGTCTCCAAGGCTCAAGGTTCTGAAAGTGAACTCTGAGAGTTCCACACACCCCGACACCCCAGGCCAGACCACCCCCTTCTTCGCACCAAGAACTGCGCACCGTTAACACCCGGCTGTCGACGGGTTCGACCCGGCTTTCAGGCGGTCAGGGCGTGAGGGCTGGTTCCAGAAGGCATCTGGACTGGATGGGATTCCTGTGTCCTCCGCGTTGGTGATATCATGTTGACCTACAATAGTATACATTGGGTCTATCCTAATACCTTGGGCCCAGTGGATGATGATGGCTAGTAGAGGCCTTGTCCAAAAGTAGTGATAAGTGTTTACTTACCGTTACAGGTAATAGGACAGACCCAAAGCATACAAACAAAACCTAGGAACCAAAAAAAGGCTTCACTGACCATCTTGGGGGATGCCCGGCGAGCTGAATGACGATTCTTGGGCAACCTTGTTGGTCCAAATTGATTCAAACCGTTGCAAACTTGAGTGTGTACATCGAGGCTCAGTCCGAACACCTTCTTGAGGAACTCAGCTATGCACGAAGGAGCTATACTAATGGAGCAGGGGGGCGGATCCGAGGGAAGCCGGAACGCACCTGCAGCTGCCGACCCCCCCGGCCCTGACTTCAGACGGACCGATGACTGGTGGGCCCTCCGTGGGCCAAGCCCGCCAGGGCACTCTCAGCCTTGGCCGTATCGCACACGCCCAGCAGGACACGGAGCTGGACCAGCAGCGCCAGCATGTCCAGCGCACGCTCCAAGCACGGCACCTGGGGACCGGTGCCGCACCGTGGGTACCGTGCCAAGGCACCAGGTCCTGCTTCTCGAGCAATAGGGTCAAGGACCACTGTGAAATGGGAACGACCAGGTCGTGTTGTTTCTGGTTCTTTGGACTTCCCGGTGTACGCGTCCTGCGAAGGCCCCTCATGCTGCTGATTGCTGCAGCGCAGAGCCGCGTGTGCACGCGGCGCGCAGAGCGCGGGCTTGCGACGGCCTCCCCTGCTTGCACTCATGAGGAGGACAAAGGCCTGGACCGTCACCGGTCGTGGCCCTATATCCATCACAAGGCGCCCAGCAAGCACAAGTAGCCCATTGTCTTGCTGTCATCCACTTGGCGCCAAGTGGGTTGGCCTCAAACGCCTCGTCTGCTCTGGCAGTTCCCAGGCAGCAACTCATGGTGCGCCCCACACCCGGCCAGCGGTGTAAGAAGAGGGCTCCAGGAACTGGGCGCCGGGACTCTTCTTGGGTAGGGCGTTCTCTCCATCCTTCAACGCATTCGCCCTGGAAGCAGCTGACCAACCAGTTCGCCCTATGGACAGCTTCATCGCGTCCTGTCACTCCGGCCTTTTTCCGTGGATGGACACCGAACGAGAGAAAGAGGTTCGGCTTCCCTAGAAATCAGGATCAATCCACCGTGGTCCTTTTGCAAAGGACCTGGTGAAGAAAAGTCTCCACCATCGAGATATCAGGTCTGCAGGATCTTCCAGGGTTTTCCAGCGCAGAAATGAAACATGAAACTCCACCAAGAGAGGTTCAGTGACCTGAACGAGCCGGACCCCGTGAGAAGCTGGGGTACCCAACTGGGAGAGTCGAACGGGAGAGTCGAACGTTAGGGTTCTTCAACCGCTTTTGGGTTCGGTGGATGGTGTTGGATGTCCTGTTCAATGGGATGTTCCCACCTGACCTGGTCCTTCACAATCCAAGGTGTTCCGGGAGGGTGTTGGATCAGCACCGCACTGGGTGACCCTCACCGCTGACCGACCGGGTCCTTCGCCCTCCGGGCCGCGCGCCGCAGCTGCCC